TATTTATTGCTTTTAATGAAATAATATTTTTTTAGGGAGCGTATAGTAGCTGCTAATCTTGGAATCAATTACGAACAGGCTCGAGGAATAAATTAAAGAGATCAACTATACCACCATATATATATATTTCGGTAAGCACTTTTTAACTTTTCAACTTATGAAAACAAAAGTTCCTCGTACAAAGTTTTCTCGAGAAATATTTTTACGCAAAGAGAAGGGATACGTAATTTTAAAGTTTCAAAGAATGAAAATGCCCGAGTATTTTACGTTCCTTTCCAAAAAAAAAAACTTTTGATAAATCTTCTTTATCATTGCAAGAATTGAATCGTTCATATATTCCATCGTATACATATTTAATACACGTGATTTACAAAATAAAAAAAAAAATATCCTTTATTCACATATTGATACGAAAATTTAATACGACCAATAATTTGAATCGCGAAGGATTTTAATAATAAAGTTTGCTCTAAACGTGTCTCGGAAGCTTTTAACACGGCGCTTTTAAAATCCTGGGACAGCCCCTCGAACCGCAGTGACAACACCGATAACGATATGCAAAGCTGCCGATGTGAAACTAGACCACGATCGTGGAAGCGTTACTCTGCCGTGTAATAATTTCCTCAAGGGTTTGCCGGTTGAATGTAACTGCGGGGATTGGGGAATCCGCCGACGAGTTTCCGTTGTGGTAATCCGTGGTGGCTGACGATGTAGCCGGGAAGATGGCGGGACAAACATGATGAAAACTCGTCGTGGAGAACAGTCCAATGAACCGTACTTTCGTTTTTATTCAAGTTACACAAGTCGAGTTTTGATTTTGATTTATAATCGCAGATTTATAATCATCTGGTTTCGATTCGAAAGTTATTATTGATCGATATAATAATTTTTTTCTATTATTTTAGATGCATGAAATGCAATTTATAAATTTTGGAAATAATTGTTCCAGACATAACTCATAACTCTTCATGGACTCCATCAAGTATTTTGCTGCACAACATGGAAAAACATTGAATCTATAGTGAGGCTGAATCTTTCGAGTTAGAATTATGATACACGATGATTGAACAATTTACAGTTAGATTTAGGTAGATAGAAATTTTAATTGTCATTCAAATAGTCGTCATTGAAATAGTCGTAAAATATTTGAATCCTCGATTACACACGTTCTAAAATTTTTCATTTCTTCTTTCGACATTCATCGTTTTATTTCTAAATATGTATTTTCAAGGCATTTTGCTTCCCATCTACCCTGCGCTTCCACCCCATCGATTGCATTTATTCCTTTACGTTTCGAAATAAGGAATAAGGCGCAAATGAGAATCATCAAAATTAAATTGAATTAGCAAAAAAAAACTAACGTGTGACGCGTGTTTTTACTTATAATTAATTTCGTGAGAAAAGAAAATGAATCGTACACAACGATTCAATATTTTTTTAAACCATTGACGATTTATTAGAGTAAGAGGACTACATACGTACGAACGAGAATATTATTATTAATTTGATCAAATGATATATAAGGATACGCGTTCTTCTTTTCTTTCTATTTACTTTTATTCGCGAAAAAGATTTGTCAAAAACGTGGCTATTTGCTATATATTTGCTGGGATTGTCATTCGAGAACGGAATTTGCCGCTCAACATCCGATTTTTTAATCGAAAGGGCAAAAATGTAAAGCAAGATTTCGAAATAATAAAATACTCGAGTATTTTTACGTGTCGACAAAGTTTCAGAAACTCAATCGCTACACGAAACTTGTAATTTTATTACAAGTTTAAAAAGATAGTTACGAGACAATCGGATATCTATTTTCTTCGATTTTCCATTGAATTTCGATAATCAATTTCGAAGAAGAAGCAAATATGATGGATTTATAAATCGGTATAAATTTTCACACACAATTGAAGCTCATTTTAATATAATATATATCCTTAATCTCATTTAAAATATAAAATTAATTTTACGACTTATTTATAAGTTATTTATAAGTTATCTCTCTCTCATATTATCTATAATATTAACTTATATGCACAAATATGACTAGATACGTTGTTTTACGAACTATTTGTATTTTCTTCTCTCTAATTTCTTAATAATCTTAAATTTTTTAATTTTACTAATATTTAATCTATAAATTTGCATCTATTAATCCATAAATTGTAAGTTTAATAATAGGTTGTAAATATTTATATTTAACGTATGTATATTTAAACATTTATATTTAACATTTTTATTTAACATTTATAACATTTAACATAAGCGTCCACAAATAATTATTTTAGTAGGTTAGCGATGCAACGTTGATATAAACGTTAGTTTATAAGTAATAGTTTATAATTTGCGTTTCTTAATAATATTTTATAATCAATGTAAACAAGATCTGCAACGTGGGGTGTGTTTTTAGACTTTAGATTGAGAATAAGCGTAATTTAACATTTATCATTAAGTAATTGTATCACCTATCTTTCTACTTTTAAACATGTATTCCATCTTGTATGCTATACACCACTATCTAACATACGACCCAATATTAACAACCGAAGAAAAAAAATTGAGCCTCAATAAAACAGCCGGCCGAAAACGTTTCATTTTTTAATTACACCACTTTCCCCGCACACACATCTTTTATCTTACATCCCCAACAAGAGAGTGAATAAACACAACCAAATTCAGATCCCTATCCCTAGACCACACCATCCTTTATACGATTCGTTAAATCTTCCTACTCTATCGCCACCCTTAAAAACAAGGGTGAAAGAGAAGAAAAGGAAAATCCATTTGAAAACCGAATCAAACCCAAATAAATAAAAAAAAAAAAAGAAAGAAAGAAAAGGCGAAACAAGGGAAAAACCGAATCGCAACCAGAACGATCATTACGAAAGCTTCGATCGCAACAGGTGTGCGGCGAATCTTTGTAGATAAAGAGTAAACCGACAGAGCGACAAGAGTAAACACAGTTTTAAAATGCAGCAATGGAATTAATTCACGGAATTAATATAAATATGATCGAATGTAAATTCAAAAACAGTTTCTCAAACAGTGTTATATTTTTGCTGATGAAGGAACAGGTATACACGATTCTTTATCATTATTAACAATTTCAAAGTAATTTCTGTTTGAAAAAATAATGTAACGTTCGATAATTCTGGATAATACTCTTGACTCTTGTCGTGATACACATATTTTTATTTATAAATCTTTGAATATAAATATTTAAATACACGATTTGTTCAACATCCTGTGAGAAACACACAGGTATCTGGTGCTAGATTAAACGAGATTAAACGTTGTTACGGGATCTGTTCGTAAGAATGGAGCATATTTCATTTCTTATCGGCTCGTGGATACCTGATAAATCGAACTGGCTTCGTGCGAGCGCATAATACGAGGGAACGAGAGGGAATGGGAAAAATTTAAGCGAATGGGTTCCGACTGCTCGTGAACGACACGCGATAACGCTTTGAATTGAATACACGAGGTTGGTTAATATCGCATTTATATGTTTGGACCTCCATGCAATTTTTCTGTTATGTTTGCACCGATGGAATTTAGGAATCCATCGTTGAATTTTGATAAGATTTTTTTTTTGGGAAGATATTAGAGCATAATGATGAGGATTTGAAGTTCTTTTTTTTTTACAAAGTATAGATTCGAATTAAATTTAGAATTCTGAAATTGATGTCAATTTGAATTTTTGAACTCGTACGAAATATAATAAATAAATTGATTATTTTGTCTTGATAGATTCGAATAAAATTTTGATTTATAAAATCGTTTTTTTGTTTTCTTTGTTTGTGTGTGTTAATGATGAGCATAGTGAAGAATCTTTGAAATGGATTCGAAATATACTGTAACGAATTGATATAAATTTATGTATAATTTATTAGATTTCTTATGATTTCACAAAATTTCTTTGTGATTTTGTTTCTTTTTGAAGATAAGGACTTGAAATAACGAGGAAAGTATGCATTATTCTTAAAAAGACTAAAGAAAAGGAAAACTATTTTAGAAAATGTGGAAAATATGTTATAAATATACCATATACGAAACTCAATATCGATATATTGAAGTTCTGACATAAACGATGTTCCTTTTGGCCTTTGCATTCCTATTTTCACCTTACATTGCGAGCAATACAATTTTCTTTGGCGTTTTCCTTAGAAAAGAATTTTTTCCTACACGAACAATTTATATTATAACGAGCATTTTATTCCCTTTTTCCTTTTCCAAATCGTTTCATTATTTTTCCTATGCATATTGGAATCTTTTTTCTAAATATATCGCATAATTTAATACAATATTTAGGAATATATTGTTAAATAAATCTTTTTCAATGAAGTAAAAAGCAAATAAATTATATAATTAAATTAAATTTTTATGAATATTTTACATATCTTCATATTAAGTTCATTGAGAGGAAAATCGAATAAATTTCCTATAGTTATATCATCAAGACTTTCTTTTTCTTTTTACAAAGTTTAGTTTCTACAGTATTATTTACGCTGAAGTAATTTCTTGTCTATAAAAACATGTTTACGAACTGTGTTTTTTACATAAGGTTATTCATCTGATATAAAAATAGGTTACACTGATATTTGAATATTATATTTAATTAAAATGATTTCATTTCAAAATTCAATGTTAACTTTACTTTCTATGGAATATTTATCATATATAAAATGAGTATCTTTCTGAAAAATTATTCGAAATAAAAGACTAAGTCGTAAAATAAAAATTTCCAGATTGATAATAGCTAATCCCAATCACAACCTCTCGTATCAAATTATTTACTTAATTTATTTAAATGAAACAACTCAAATAAAAATTCGTTTGAAAATTGAAATAAAATATACATCGCGAGCAATTAATTATTTCCAACTATTATTTTATTTTAAACGAAAGTCTGTCCAATTTTGAATAATAATACACCGATCTCTCTATTGACGACAGGCAGGTCGTTTTAGTTTGTTCCCTGGTATCGCTCGTGATTACAAAAGCAACCGCTCGACCCATGGCATTTATTTCCTTCCAGTATACATACACACATTCATACATACATTCAAGCTGAGAACCGAGTAGCGCACGCTTTTACGAGCGTCTCCAGACAGCTTGGTATT